ATTAGGGCTTCCGAAGCAGAAGCTACTTGAGACGCTTGGTGGTATAGGATCATTTCGCGAAGTGCAAGGAAAGGGTGACCATCCACAACCCAGGACAACGACCTCGACCGCACTCAGGCTTTCAGAGTCTCTACAAAATGCAAGTATTTGCTTCATGTGGGCATCGTAGATGCAAATGTATGATTACGACAAGCAATAACGCTTTGTTTGTGTTTTATTCACAGCTCGTTCAAGATCCTACTCAATTCGATGTACTTGTCATGCCCAATTTGTATGGAGATATTTTGAGTGACTTGGCCGCCGGATTAATCGGCGGATTGGGAGTTACGCCAAGTGGGAACATTGGTGAAAGTGGAGCTATCTTTGAATCGGTAGGTCTGCAGCTATCTTTCACTGTAATTTCATTTGCGCATATTCGATAGTGGTATCATTTTCTCGCCCTTATAAACTTAATCTTTTTAGGCCGATCCAACACGGGACATGCATATTTCATGTCCGGGATTCGTAGATTTCCTCAACCATTGTGATTGCTTGCTAGCGCATTTGTGGGCTTTGCCTGAGGTTCATTGTTATTTCCAATTCGTTCATGTGCGGAAGCGCTTTCATTTATAGTCTTTTCAAGTTGTTATGTGCGTTGTAGTATACATGCAAAATCTGTACTCATTCTAGGTCCACGGAACGGCTCCAGATATTGCGGGCTTGGATAAAGCCAACCCGACAGCTCTCCTGTTCTCAGCTGTGATGATGCTCAGATACATGAATTTGACTCGGCATGCGGATCTCATCGAGCGCGCGGTTTTCACTGCGATTCGCGAGGGCAAAGTAAGTTTCTTAGTTTCGGGTTGTCCCATTTTAGATTTGATTTGTATTAAAAATACGGGGCAGTCGTCGTTCCGTTATTACTCCTATCAATTTCCTCTTTTGCTCCTATTGTTACGCTTAGTATTCAAATACGCTAACGGTCAACAGTTCCGGCATCTGGTCATTTTATTGAACAGTGTAATACCAGTGTTTCTGGTGTACTGGAAATTCTTCCTGGATCTTTTCCGTTGTTGGAAAACTGCGGTAAATAGGATATCGTGTTTTTCGCTCTCATTATTGACTAGTGTGCGAAGGCATATTCGACTTTCCTTTTGTGACATTGGATTGAGTCTAATGTGTGGACCTTTGGTGAGTGTATTAATGTGTACGTATTACGCTTGTATGAACTGTGAGCATGGTAATTGGTCACCTAATCCATGTTTAGACGCATTAAACAAAGTGATCAAAAATAAGTTAACAGTATACTTTAAATGATTCACAAGTATTCGATCTATTATTATCTCCTGACGCCATTTACTGTCTCATCAATTACATTTCATCTTTATCTAGTGCTTGACTGCTGACCTCGGTGGTCACTCATCTTGTTCACAGTATACTAAAGAAATCTGTCGTCTCATCGAACATTTAGCTGCGAATCCCGTTTGAAAAAAACAACACATTCAATTACTTGAATCTTTCATTCACTTCTTGTCGCTGTTTTCTCCATACACCGAGGAACCACCTTACCAGGTCGAATGTTTTTTCACTCATCTGCTCAGGACCGGAAGGGGGAATGTTATACTTTTTCTCTCTTCTCAAAAATTTCCCGGAATTATCATCTTATCGTATCTCTTCTGCTTTCTCCGNGACTACTTTCGTCGGTTTGCGCTCCCCCTGCCTTTTCACCTGTGGCTGTTCTATTCCAATATTCTTTACATTTACCCGACTTTTAACCCACTTGTCTGTATAGACTAGCTGTGTACCTTGCCCCCCGCCCGTTTGGTTCTTATAGCCAATTCCCTTTGCTTAGGATGTACGGTTGACAATACAGAGCGGTAGTGATAGTCACATTGAATGCAATTTTGTTTGTTTACACGGGGTGGAATGGTTGCACGCTTCATGTTTCGTACGCACCAAATTATTCCGTATAAATTCAAAAGAAAGCCCAACGTTAGTCCGTCGTATCCAAGTGAAGTACTTTCTGAGGAAAGCCTGATCGAGCGTGGATGCGCTTTGGGGCTTGGATTCAATGGTTTAGGTACAGCCTTAACCGTTTTCTCTGTAACTTTGGTTTTGAACATCTGTTCTTATTTTGTGTAGTGAGTGCAGTGAGGGTTAGCACAGTTTGTAGCATTGTATTCCTTAGTCTAGTGATGTCAGCGATCGCGTTGTCAACATTTTGTTAGTTAATAGATCTGTTACTCATCATCAAAAAAGCGTTCTAATCGTGCAAATTCTAGTGCAATAAAACCGAGCCGTTTTAACGATATTTTTTATTACACACCTTAGTGTGATGAACAGCAGACAGGTTGAACCCCATAGTCACGAAGACCTGCTGTTCAGCCATGGAAACCACCAACCGAAGCCTCGGGACTTGGATTGGCGAACCACATAAGGCCCCGTTAGGTTAGGCGTGGTACTGACTCGGACGACAGCAAGCTATCTACCACCAAAGTTGGGTGGCGTTGGCGGGGCTCGAACCTCGAAACATGTCGGTGACAACGACTAAGCCACTGCGCCACCACCACCTTAAAGCTCGTGGGTAGTTTATGCCGCAGGTATGCTTGAATCAATGAAAAACAATGATCAGTATTGTCTCTTAGTTTGTGACGTACCCAATACGAGCACTACTTGTTTAACCCCGACGTAATTTGCATTGGTATTTTATCACAAAAGTTCTTCCGGAGACGAGCAGAGGAGAAGAAAAACAAAAGTCGGATCAGTTGTGGTTTGTTAGTGCGTTAAGTAACACTTGGCCTGAGGCTTCAACGCTTTACATTGCTGCACCTTGCCGGCAACTTCTACTACAATAATCACAGCGAGCATCAAAGACAGCTAACGCATGTACGATTCACTTATGTCTACTGCAAGTTGCCAGACGCCAGTGGCGCACTCCTTGCCGCGTAATGTTACTGGTACAGAATTGGGGATTGAAGGTGACTAGAAGCCGTAAAATAGGAGTGATCAAACGGCAGTAGCATACATGGTATATCTGTCAAACAGATAGACAGATACTGCGTCGACAATATGAAAGTGATACAGGTAGACAGGCCAGATTGAATGAGTGCCCATGATCGATCATTTCTATTTTATAAATGCGATCCACCATATTTCTTCTCGTGAGTGACCTGACTCCTTTTTCTCTTGTTCTGAGCCCGATTGCGCACAATTTGATGCATGTTTTATAAATGATCGATCTGTTTGTCTCTCTGCTCGCATAGCCCTTGCGTTTCAACTTTGTAACGATGAAGGTTTGTGCTCTGTGCGTCGTTTCATCACTAGAGGTCAGTCCGTTGAGCTGTCTGACTAGCTATTGTTATCCGCCTACAAGATTTCGGATTGAATTGGCTTCATAGGTTGGCACGTGTGCGCTGTTCCCGTGGGTATCAGGGTAAACGGCAAGTAGTGATTGGAGTAAGCTTCAGTATGACAGCTTTCAGATTAAAATGCCTTCGTCCGTGAGCTTCACCAATTGGTTCCTGTCAGTCCTCCCAGTTGGATTTCCCGGGACAGCGTAAATGATCCTCATGTTTTGGGTTTCGTAAAATGTAGTGCTTGTGAATCTACACACTTTGTACATTGGATCACCTCATCTGTCAAACTTTTGTTTTCGTAACAATCACCCGGTTTATTCCTCTTAATTCCACTATTGTTTGATCGAACAAAAGCTCTCGTTATCGATTGTGATAAACGGAGAACCACACATGGCTGCCGAAGGATTCCCTTTTTTTCTTGAATCAGTTTTAGTTGTTGTGGAAGAGGTCTGTTCCTATGATGTCTAGAGAAGTGAATTTGGATTGCTGAGATTTTACGCATAAGAAAGATGCTGTGAGTTTCGCGGCTTTCTATGAATGTATTCAAAAATCTATCGGTATCTAATTTGGCAGGCTAAATTGCGACCAGTGGGTGTTTCCGTTTCGCTGGGTGATGAACCAAATGCAAATAAGATGCCATGTGCAGCAACTTAGCCAAATAGAAAAGTGCGAAAGATCACTTGATTAAATTATTCCCCCAAGTAAGCTTAAAACCGTCATCTATCAGTGTTCTCCTCGGGATATCACCTGCATTCAGCGGAATAGGGAGATTGTTAAACGGAAAACCACGAGATGATGGCAAGAGATTTCCTTATGAGAAGGAGTCTGTCGGTTGAAAGATTCCGAATTTTTATATTCATTTGCCTTGTTTGAATAAAAGTGGGTTATGCCAACCGATAGTAAACTTTTGGTCTAAGATATAGGATACGGTGGTTACTAGTAGAGTTGACGCCTTCAGTCTGAGAGAGAAAATATAAGGATGGTTAATGATGACCTTGTCCAGTACAGCATCTCCGTTGAGAGGGATCTGGTAGGCCGAACGAAAGTAAACGTTGAGTTCATCCATGATTAAAATAACCAACAATTAGAATTAGGTTATCATCAACTAGGGAACAGTGAAAGGAATAAATGTATNTGTTTGCTTCAGGAATTCTTCTTCATCTCGTAGTGTGTCTGGGGAACAAACGCTTCTGGCATGTTTGGCAGTCCGGTTCTATCTCATACACTGTATACCAATTCACCTGCAGTTGCAGTGACGCATACATAGGCAGAACCAACCGACAATTATCACAGCGGATGGCCGAACCCATTCCAAAGTGGTTAGTGAAGTCAATGACGTAACCTATATCTAGTAATCAGATGGTCACACGTAACCCGGGGTCATCAATTGCAAAACACCTCATGACAGTGAAAAATATGCAAACCTCAAACTGTGGCACTAACCGGTTTAAAACACCGGAATCTGTGAAGCCAGTAATTCGACAAGCAAGACCTGCGAGCAAGCAGGCGCGCAGTGCGATGACAATAGAACCAATACACCGAACAATGTCGAACAGGATCACGTGAATCCGTGGTGGTCAATAGTGAGAAGCGACCTAGAGAGAGCCAATCACAACACAGTGGATGTAAATGTGTCATCAGGGACCATCGTGACAGGACAGTGCCATGGATCGGTGTAGGTGTGCGTGCGTGTGTTTACACAAGTGTCAGAGTCAGTCGATCATGGGTACGGGTCCATGGGACCGGTGAGACCGACATAGGTCAACGCAATGGGGCAAACATACTAATAGTGCGTGCGTATGTGTAAACGGTGTGGAGAACAGTCATAGGCACGGATCAATGAGGGGATGAAATCAACATTACACGGTC